CATTTCCCTCCTTTCCCGCCTTCTTATAACTAAGGTGTCGGAAGCACCCTCAGACGGTGACTTCAGTGAGGTGAATTGTTGCTTCTCCTTTGTGGACGAGACTGGGAGGAACAAGTCTGGCTCTTCCTTTACTGTTAGGGTGCAGGCAAACGGGGACAGCCAGTCATTCATCTGAGAGCCGCCTTCCTCCTTGATGCAGATGCTCTCAGGGAAAGAAGCCGATTCCTCGCCAGGCTGGGAGCTGCTCTCCTTTAGGGAATGGGCTGGGGAAAATAAACCGTCGTCACCCTGACTCTCCTCCTTGACAGCAGCCGTGGGTAAAGACGAGGACTCTTCTGTACAAAGTGACATCTACAAAGACAGACAAGAGAGACGCCGTCGGTAAGCAAGGATCTAACTCACTCAAATCCTAAACAATAGTGGAAGGAAGAAAGGGAAGGCTGGCACTGAAGGACAGCAGAACAGTTAAGAGGAGGACCTTCAGAAAGCAGTACCTACAACAACAGATAGTGATCTGGAAAAGTCTAACTCCTTTGATTCCTCCTTACGCAATCTACATGTGAAATAACAAAATGAACGAGGACAGCTTTCCCAGGAACCAAGGGAAAAGAAAAGAAAAAAATTGAGGTTATCAAAAGAAAAAGAGCACAGGGGAAAGATAAATCACAGCAGGAGAGAACATAAAGCAGCAGGCGCGCGAAGGAAAACAGGATTATGGTTAGACAGGACGAAAGAAGTTCAGGCTTTGCAATGTCTAAGCATCCAAGAACAGTCAGTGAGATTCCAAGAGAAAGATGTTTTTAATAGCAGTTTTGCTTGAGCTCAGAGTAACTGGGAACTCCACAGAATAACCAAACAGCAGGTACTGAGAACCTCTGGGAAGAGACTTGATGCAAATAAACGGTCTTTCAGAAGAAGTTCTGTATGTTACATCTCTTCAGAGCTACCAAAAATCTGAATGTTTTAGGAGCAGACCAAAGCCATTTCTCCCATTCTTACTTATTCACATCCAAGCAGCAGAGAAAATTGTCTTGACCAACCCATAGAGCCCCCTCCTCTAGAGAACTATAGTGACACTCTTAGAGTAAGTGGACTAATAGTCACCCTAGAGACAGAAAAAGACAGCGAGGATTGTAACTGGCCAGTTCCTTTGTACAAGCTCTAGAGTTTCAGAGCACCTACTAAAGGCCCACAAAGGAACCATATGAAGAACGGGGTCCATAAAAGGCAAGAGCTATAGAAAAGAAAAAAGAAAACCAAACAAAAACCCCCAAGCCCTCTCCTGCTCAAAAAAAGAACCAAATAAAAAAGCCCTTAGAAACCAAGCAACCAACCTTTGGAGCAATGCGCACACGCTTATTGCTCTGGAACATCTCCGAGCTGGTGAGGGATGTTCCCTGTGCCGTGGATAGAGGAACCTTCATGGAAGGCTGCAAGACAAGAGGCTGACTCAAAGGAAACTGGATCGGAACCAGGATGGAGCTGATGCGAGGAAGCAAAGGCTTCATCTTTCGGCCTGAAAGGGAAAAGAATGGACTCGCTAGCCTCTTGCACCTCCTCTACGGCCTCTTGAAACCCAGGCATCTAACAGAGAGTCCTTGTAACTACCCCAAAGTAAACATCCCATCAGAGGCAGGCTCACTTGCCTTCTCTGCTAATTTTGAGGATACAAATCCCAAGCCAGAAGGCCTGATGAACAAGAAAATAGTCCTTCATACAGATCCTAGCCCTCAAGCTGGGGGAAACTCTGCTCTCACTCCCTTGGAGTACCCTCTGTCTCGACATCACATCCTCTCTCCAACACAGCAATACTGCTTTCAGCTCCAAACCTGACAGTGGGAAGCCTAAAAGCTGGCAAATCTGGATAACAATTTCCACTTTTATTCCTAAGGGAATCTAGGAGAGCGCCCTAGATTTATGGGACTGATTCCCTTTGGGCTAAGCTAACACAGACACTCACGTGCATTCTGGGGTTCGGTTTTGCTGCTGCTGTTGCTTCCCGTGTTCTTCTGGAGATCAGGAAGATGGCGCTTTTGCTGCTGCAGTCATTGTGAAATAAGGAAGAGTAGAAGAAGGAGAAAAAGAGATTTAAAGAGGAGAATCCATCTTTGTCCCGCTGCCTCGTTCAGAGCTGTGCATCCCGAAGCCTGCGCTGCACTAACACAGAGAGCAGCTGTCAGCACCCAGTAGTCACGCTGGCGCGGTCTCTGCGCCACTTGCTGTTTTGCAGCCACGCCATTTCAAAGCCAGCTGCCAACCAAAAGCTGTGTAGCAACAGAAATGGCATGCCAGAGCTGCTCTGGCTGCAGAAGTGACCTGGTTTTGGTGTCCTCAGTGCCTGAGGAACGGTGAACAGGATGGCTTTACTGTATACTGGATCTCTAGACAAACCAGAGAGATGTTCAAGTGGAACAGCAGAGGCAACGGAGGAATCGGAAGTCTGAGCAGGTTAAAAGAAGGCCAGGGCTGCAGCTGTGACTGGCTGCTTGCAAACCTGGCATCATTAAAACTGCTGCATGCAAGAGAGACAGCACACAGGTTCGTCCTTCTGAGAGCCACAGGGCAGCTGGGTTCCAAAATGAAAAAGCAGCACAGCACAGAGAGATCCTGTTCTCTCTGGATCTGAGCCCCAGAACAGATTGGGACTGCTGCCACGGAGATGAGGATTTTACCAGAAATCTCTGTCTGCCCTTGTTCTCTGAAGCCTCTTGGTGCTCACTGCAGCCTACTTGCCCAGTAGGCTTCCAGTTGCTCAAAGCTGTAGAGAGAGCTGAAGGCAATCAACCTTTGGCTCCACTCCTTTCCCCAAACAGAGTGAGCATGGAGCTGTACGACCCAGTCCCCCCTCCCCGAGCCCCTTGTCCTTCCCTCAGGGACTGGCAAGAGGAGGATGGAAGCCCGAGCCCCAGCCCAGAGGGCAAGTCTTACTGATTCAAAGTGCTCAGGTGACGTTGGTGACCCCAAGTCCAGCGGCTGGCGGCAGCGAGGCATTGAGAGGGAGAAAAATAAGATGAAGTTATCAGCCAAAGCGGGAACAAATGGGATGTTTTAGCCTTGTATAATGCGAGCAAACAAGAGCCAATCTGCCCACCCACTGCAGAAACAACAGAAGAGTCTAAACACACCTATTACAGACTCAAAATCTGTTTCTCCCACAAAATGGTACTTCCTAAAATACCTAGCTGGGATAGAGCAAAGTGCATCCTCTGACTGTCTCATCAAACAGCATACGAACTCCTGGTTGGATTCAGTGGAAAACTTCTTGCTAGTAATTTGAATCAAGCCCATGGAAAGAGGTTGAACAAGCTCACTGTTCTTCAGGTTGTGTGCCAAATATATCAAACATCCCACAGAAGCTCCAGTTCACACGCACGGGCATAGCACCTGTTTCTTTCAAACACAGAGCTCGCCTGTTTGTCAAGAGAAGTGGCCAAAACCAGCTCCTACAAAGTTATTCTTTGAAGATAAGGTGCACCTGGCTAGTGTGGCATTCAGGAACTGGATAGCCTGTCCCCTTTCTTCGCACGAGGCACTCACCTTGAACACCTGGTCCAACGTCAGGCAACGCTTTGCATCAGGGTGAATCGTCCAGAAGGAGACTTTGCCATTAGCTGACGTCTCACGGACAAACATGTCATGAAGGGACAGGTTGTGCCGAATGGAGTTCTAGGGAGAAAGGAGCGAGGGGGAGGTTGAAAAGCACAAGTTTTGTCATCAGCACAGCAGGATCTATTCGAGCCATGACTGCCCTAGCAGAAGGATTGCACTCCAAAGTGTAGACAACACGGACCTTCCCGGACAGCCATGCCTGTCATCTGTCTCTCACTCTATTTATTCTTGAGATGCCTATTATTACTCCATTGATCAAGCATCCCATCATCTTCCCTAAATGGAATGAGAAAAGGGATGCAAGAAGTGGAACAGGGAACATCTGGAATGAGAGGTTATTTGGGGTGGGGTGTTTAAACTAATTTTCATCTTGCTTTGTGGGCTGGGGAACTTCTCATTTGCATCCAGAAGGCTTGTCATAACATCACCCTGTGGCCCACAGCAGCTTGAAGGCCTGCTTGTTACCTTCCAACCCGGCTTAGCCACGTGTTTAAAGTACGGGAAGTGATCCTCAATCCAGGTATAGATGTCCTTCAGGGTCATACGCTTCTTCTCAGTGCTGTTAATGGCAAACTGGATCATGGCCATGTAGGAGTAAGGAGGTCGCTCTGATACTGAATCCTGCCACGAAGAGGAGGACAAGGCAGTGGTGGCAGTAGGAACAGCAGTAGCATCTTCTTCAGTCTGAAAGAGAAGGAATGATACCAGAGTCCCACAAAGTTGCCAAGGAGAACCATGGAACATCCCTGGATCCTCCAGGTTCTGCTATTCAAATCAGTAAAGGCCAAACTTGGGTTACTTAGAGATGGTGATGCCTAATTCTTACAAGCATTCTGATCTACATGGATCACCTCCTTGTCGAAAGTTTAGCACGTGCTCTGTCGTCTTCTCCTGCTTACCTCGATTCTTTCCCGCAGAGGCATCTGGTTCTCTTTCTCTGTGTCCTGCTTCACAGAACAGGGACTCAGCCCGTCGGATCTCATCTTCCCCAGCCACTGGATGTTGGTGAGACTATTGTCCAACACAGAGCTCGGTGCCTCGCCACTGCCTGTTGGGATACCAAGCCCACAGCTCTGCTTACTCACCAGTGACCCTCTTCCCCCTTCATCTCAAGTGCCAGGAGGAAGGCACTAGTCACACCTCTAAGAGTGGCACCCCTGTCTCAAGATAGGGATGAGATGGTGCTGCAATGCTAACGTTTCTTGTGGAAGGAATTCCACCTTGAATTCCTGACTTTATGTGAATCTGCCCTTTCTGAGGGTAGATTTCGGAGAAATTTCTGAGAAAAGCTACAGCCTTCGAAACAAACATTCAAACCAGACTATTGCTCTCAAATAAAACGGGACACTGTTGATCCAGTACTTCAAGAATTCGGTTATTTTTAGCTACAGGATGAATCGAGGAAGCAGAGGCCAAGGGAGGTGATGACAGACTCCAACTGGAAGACCTAGCACAAGGCCCGAGCCAGAAGCTCAGAAGTCTCCAAGTTTTTGTACTGCAGCAATGCAAACTAACATAGGTTTTTTATTTCTGGTGAGGTTGGTTGTAGCAACACGCCGTTGCAGCTGCCTATGGGTTCCTGTCGGACAGTGCTACACCATGGGATAATATTTACTACAGCCCAAAAGCTACACAGCTATTTTAAATTGCAAATACAAAACTGATCTGAGCAGTGTTTCCAGGTAAAACCCATCCCACTTCTAAAATTTATCCAACAACTTTGTGAGACAGCCAAGAAGGAAATGGACTTGCCGCTTGGTTATTAAAGGAGGGGAATAATCTCTTTGTCAAAGCTCTAGGCCTGTATGTCTTGTCCCAAATTCAGCCATAACCCTTTTGCTAAATGAAACTTAATTTGCTCTTCTAGACTCGATTTCCTCAAGCCAGCCCTTCTTTTTTCTCCGGTACTAAAATTTTGCTTTGCTATACGCCTTTATATGCCATCTCTTCCACCAAAAACGCATCCAACATCCTTCAGATTTCTCTGCATGCACATAGCTATGCAGATTATTAGAATCAAATCCATAGATATTTTGTAATTAACAAAACAGTTTTCATTACTGCATACTGAGATCCAAGCACTACACTCATCGGCCCACTTCACATCTCTGTCTACCAGTCAGGACAAAAAAAAAAAAAAAGGGTAAAGATTACCTACCTTTGCTCTCCTGTTCCTGTCCAACCACAGAACCAACTCCTGGATGCCAGGGCATTGTGCCTCCTGCAAGACCAGATGTCTGTGTAACATCCTTGTCTCTCTCTTGACCTTCTGCAGCCTTGGTGGCTGCACTGGGTTTCTTCTCCGATGGGAGATGCTGCGATGGTTTTGGACCCGCTGAGCGGGACGTGCCCCCACTGCTGATGAGAATGAACTTGTTGGGCCCATTGTTGCCACATTCTTTTCCTTTCGCTGTCAGTGCCTCTATGATGCTCTGGATATCAGCGTTGGTAGGGATGGCAACCACTTGTGTGTTGGGCATGGTGGGATGGTCAATGATTTTTATTCCTAAAAATGCAGCCCACAGTCCGTTTTGTCTCCGAGTTGGCTGTTGCGTTGGTCCTCCTGTCTGTGTTCCTGCTTAGGAACCTTTTCTTCCTGACTGCTGTTCTCATCGCTTGCTGAAGTGCTGGATGCATCCTTCTGTGGGACGGTTGGCTTCCGTCGTTTGAGAATCAAGGGCCTGCGAGGGCTGCTCTTCATTGTTGATCTACGCAGTCACTCTCCATTGAAAGGGGCAGGAACAAGTCCTGCAAAGCAAAAGAGAAAACATAAGAGTGCAGAGGGCAGGAACAGCTAGAAAAGGCGCAGCAAATCACCACGGGCCTCCCACAGAGCACAGCAATCGCTACAAGGCTGGAAACAGGAAAGAAAATCAAAAAATGAAAGTTTTTAATAAGCTTGACAAGGCTATTGGG